GAGTAGCTGGGATTACAGGCACGCGCCACCATGCCCAGCTAATTTTTTGTATTTTTAGTAGAGACGGGGGTTCCACCATGTTGACCAGGATGGTCTCGATCTCTTGACCTCGTGATCCACCTGCCTCGCCCTCCCAAAGTGCTGGGATTACAGGCTTGAGCCACCGCGCCCGGCCTCAATATTGTTTTTAACTTGTCAGCAGCATGACAAACATTCCCAGACCAGTACAGTGGAGAGCAGGCACCACTTTTTTTTTTTCTTTTTTCTTTTACCCCCCACTCCTTTTTCTTTTGAGACAGAATCTTGCTCTGTCACCCAGGCTGGAGTGTATTGGCATGATCTCAGCTCACTGCACCTCCACCTCCCTGGTTCAAGCAATTCCCCTGCCTCAGCCTCCTGAGTAGCGGGATTACAGGTCGTGCCACCATGCCTGGCTAATTTTTTTTGCATTTTTAGTAGAGATGGGGTTTCACTATGTTGGTCAGGCTGGTCTTGAACTCTTGACCTCATGATCTTCCCACCTCGGCTTCCCAAAGTGCTGGAATTATAGGTGTGAGCCACTGCACCTGGCCAGCCACTTTCCTTTTTTTAAGATGGAGTCTCACAGTGTCGCCCAGGCTGTAGCGCAGGGTTGCGATCTTGGCTCACTGCAATCTCTGCCTCATGGGTTCCAGCAATTGTTCTGCCTCAGCCTCCCGAGTAGCTGGGACTGCAGGTGTGTGCCAACATGCCCAGCTAATTTTTGTATTTTTGTTTTTAGTAGAGATGGGGTTTCACCATGTTGGCCAGGATAGCCTCGATCTCCTGACCTCATGATCTGCCCACCTCGACCTCCCAAAGTGCTGGGATTACAGGTGTGGGCCCCCGCGCCCGGCCAGCGGCCAGCCACTTTCTACAAGTACTTGCATTCTGTTGATTAACATTGACACCACTGATAGAGTGGTTGATAAAATTTACTTTCATCCTTTGTTGATTAACAGGAGAGTTTTTCAGAAGGTTTTGCAGATTTGTGATCTTCATACTTGTTCTTCTAACCAGCATTATTAAGTATCCAGAGATAAGCCAATTTTTCTGTCTTGTCTTTCACACTGAGGTGCTGAAACTAACAAAGTCATAGAACTGATGCAAAGATATCCATTCAGAGCATAAGCTCAGCATGTAAAACACTGTGCAATATGTGTTTATAATGTATGACCTTAGCGTGGGCTTTGTGGCAAAACCCTGTCTCTATAAAAAATATAAAAATTAGCCAGGTGTGGTGGTATGAGCCTGTAGTCCCAGCTACTTGGAAGCCTGAAGCGGGAGGATCACTCGAATCCAGGAGGTAAAGGTGCAGTGAGGCATGATCATACGACTGCACTCCAGCCTGGATGACAGAGCAAGACCTGTCTCAAAAAAAAGAAAAAAAATCCTATGGCAGGGTCATATATTTCTACTGGAGGGAAGTGCAATGCTTTGCCGCTGTTTACTTAAATCTGTTTCTGATGCCACCTATTCTTTCTGAGGACCAACTGCCCTGTTGGCAGTGCCTTTGGTCTTGCATACTAGCTTGACATAACACTCAAAATTCTAGCTCGATGCTTGAGGAATGCCTTTTCCTTGGAATATATTCTTATACAGAATTATCATTATTTTTATTTATTTATTTTTTGGAGACAGAGTCTTGCTCTGTTGCCCAGGCCAGAGTCTAGTGATGCGATCTCAGCTCACTGCAACCTCCACTTCCCAGGTTCAAGCGATTCTCCGCCTGAGCCTCCTGAGTAACTGGGACTACAGGTGCGTGCCACCATGCCTGGCTAATTTTTGTATTTTTAGTAGAGATGGGGTTTCACCATGTTGGCCTGGCTGGTCTTGAATTCAAGTGATTCAGCTAACTCGGCTTCCCAAAGTGCTGGGATTACAGGCGTGAGCCACTATGCCAGGGCCAGAATGATCATTATTCTATAGGAAGAATACTTTTGATGATCCAGTAACTCAGGTTTTGATTTTCTTTCTTCCTCTTAGTAAGTGGCAGCACTGTGGAATGGGAAACAGATGGGAGGATGAGCAGCTGGGAGGGACACTCTTGCAAAAACCCAGGCAAGAGACAATAAAGACCTCTGTCATAGGGATGGTGAGGACATGAACTAGAGGCATTTAGAAATGAGAACCAGCCGGGCGAGGTGGCTCACGCCTGTAATCCCAGCACTTTGGGAGGCTGAGGCGAGTGGATCACGAGGTCAAGAGATCGAGACCATCCTGGTCAACATGGTGAAACCCCGTCTCTACAAAAAATACAAAACATTAGCTGGGCATGGTGGCACGTGCCTGTAATCCCAGCTACTCAGGAGGCTGAGGCAGGAGAATTGCCTGCACCCAGGAGGC